GCGGGCAGGTCAAGCCCGTTGCCAGGCTTGGCCCCCCGTGCCCTCTGCTTTGTCTCTGCTTTACGAGCCTGACGTGTAGCATAGCGGGTTATTGGTGATCAAGCTGTAAAAAGAGCTATTCCGCAGCGTAAGTTTGCCTCAAAGCTCTCTTAACCTGTCTATGCCTCTTGGAGGAAGCTGGACAGAATAACGCTGAAGCCTCTTGGATAACAGCAGCGCGTACCTGCCCGCCTGCCCGCGGCGCTGCCCTTTGCGGGCAGTCCTTGGTCGCCAGGTCCAGCTGGCCTGGGGGAAGAGAGGGGCCTTCGCGCCGCTTCGGCGGGGACCCTGTCAGCGTGCAGAGGAGTAGCTGGCGCGTGTAAAATGGGTGGCCAAACCTCACTTGATTTTTCTGCGTTTCTGGCCAAGCAAAAGGAAAAGGGGAGACAGCTAAAAGCAGGGTTATAACAGGTTGAGTTTTAATGCTGATGAGTATTAAACAGTACCTAGTGTCTACTGCCATTACAGTGTGATATGTGTATGCTAAGCCAAGAAGTGGAGGGGTTTTCTGGTGATGTTGGGAAGTAGAAACTGGCGTGAAGCTAGATGTTAAGTGGGTTTCCCCACCCCTTCTCTGATAGGGACATTTTGACACCTAGATTTCAGTAAAGCAGTATAGTCCATTTCTAAAGATCACATCTCAACCCATCAGGTGTCTGTCCTTTGTGTAGACACTTCTGTGACTGGCACACAAGTCCCTGAAGCTGGTACTGACTCGGCATTTGGCTTTGGATGTAATTCAAATGGAGTTGTGTTGAACTATGTGTCTGTGGAAATTTAGGAATCTGTTACAGGAACAAACATGCATGTTTTTAGTTAAAGATTCCTACCTCTGTGATTAGGGAAGAAGCCAAATGAATGTGGATTGATGTACAGTTATTCTTCAGCCTTCAAGGGATGGCTTGAAGTTTGCTGTCTTCATGTGCAATATGTTTTAAGTCTAACAATGGCAATAACTGATATCTTCACTCAAACTTGAGCTTCTAGAAGAAGCTTGAGCAACAGTCTTGACGTAGGCTGCCTTTGTGCACGTGAAATTCAAATGTAGAGGTTGATGCAGTTGCAGGACACTTTTTCTGAAGGATTGGTAGGTCTAGAGTTCATTAGACACATCTAACTTTTAACTTACTGACCTTTAAGGTACAGAGGAAGGATTCTGACTGTGGGAACCTTTTATCTCCTGTCTTTACTCTTGAAAATGACCCTTTGTTAAATGTGTTCAGTCAAAAAGTGCACACAAACATAGTTTCTTAATTTTGCTATACTGGATTTTATGCCTTCTCAGCAGCTTCCTCAGATGAATTATTTAGGCATAAGTTGAATTCTCAAGGACAGAGTGAGAGCTGGTGTGGTTTCTCTTCTGGCATTTCAAGTCTTTGAGTGAAGTCTTGGAGTTACGTGTGTAGCTAAATAATGCTTTTGAAGTGGGATTGAAATCTTTTAGTACTGTCTCAATATGACATTTCTCTTACTGTGTTTCTTGTTAAGACGTTTGCCTTAATATTTCCTTACATCTCTCTCTCTGTGCAAAGTGTTACTCGCTCAGATATGTTGCCTGTGGGCCAGCAAAGACTGGGCACAGTACTTCAGGTTCCAGATCGTTACCCGTGCCTCTTCTGGGCTTTAGGTTTCTTCAGATTTATTATTTGGAAAAAGCTAAATATGCTTTAATTAAAGAGAAAGGATGGATTAAGTGTAGTTCTAAGGTGCAGGTGGTTGTAGAATAACTATAATGAGAGAAGTTAATAGGTCTGTTCTTGTTACTCTATGCTGTCCCGTTTGCAATGATTATTCCAAATCTCTGTTCCTCCAGTGCTTATACCGCTTACTGTCCCTACAGTTCTTTTGTAAAATTCCGAAAATGTTCATGTGCAAATGCAAAGGTTGCCTTCTCTTGGTTAATTGCTCATCAGTTAATGTTCACCTGCTTTTGGCTGGCATCTTGCTGAACTTGTGTTGTTCAATAGTGTTATTGGGAGCCCTGTAAGAGAAAGGAAAGGAATTCTTTTCCTACCATCCTCAAGGATCTAACTGATACTGGTAACCCTTGATGGTAGGGTAGATGTCCAGGGCCTTCCTGTGTAATTGTGAGCTTGTGTCATGTAAGGTAAGGGGCCACTAACATGCTATGGAGGGTCGCTTTTGTTTTTCAGTCACTTGCATCATGTAGCAAGTTGTATATTAGAAATAATAGAAATGGAGATTATTATTTTTTTAGAAGTTGTTCATTATGCTTAATCATTTAGCTTGGAAGTTTTAAAATGTCATTAAAATACCTCTTTGGTATTACTGCTGTTTTCTTTGACTGGCAGAATAAACTTTGTGTCGTATGAGTAGTATTTCACTAGTAACATGCTTCAGGATACTAACATAGAACTAGACTCAATTACTATTTGAAGTGTTTAACAGGAAATAAGTACTCATTGTTAGACACAAGACGATAGCTAATGGTTTTCACCTTGTAAAGTGCCATGTGTGAAGTTGCTAACTCGTGTCAGAAACACAGCCCATGGGTCAAGGCTTTCTCTGCACCAGTAGTGAGGTAATGGTGAAATCATTAGTTGGAGCCACTTACTGAAGCTCTTGCTGTTGGGTAGAATGGGAAAGGACATGAATTGACATGGTTATGGCCTCATTATCTGAGGCTGCTTTCAACCAGACTCCTAAAGTTTTATAACAGTTTTGCAGGTATTACGTACTTGGCAACTGATGTTCATGTAACATGCAAACTCTTCTCTTTTCTTACAGAATCGGGCCATTTTCAGATTTGATCCAGCAGATGAAGACAAAAGAAAGGTAGGTAAAATAGGCTATCGAGCTGCATACCTGCTCTGGTTCAAAGTATAACAAAGGAAGAGCAGTCTCTTAACTTATCTGTTATTGTGAACAGGTGCAATTAGTGATTACAAACTTCTGTTTTCAATTTTGTTTCTTTAGTGCAATAGACATGACAAGTACCGATTCTCCCTTTTTTCTGAAAAACAAATCTGCCTAACAAAAAGCCCTGTCTTGAATAAAAGTAGTAACAGAAAAGCCTATAAATAATGTTGTTGGGTACAGATTTGGGATGGGGGAATAAAGATACTCTTCTTCCGGATCTGGGATAAACATTTTGCAGTGCATTTTTGCTTTTCTCCTCCTCTCAGCAGATAGCAATTTCTTGTCTGTGTTAGATACTTAGAGAATATTAGAGATTAAGATGAAGGGATAAGTACAGAAGAAAGCTATGGAGCTGTAAGGGAGACAAAGCTACAGAAGCCTGTTAATCCAAAGGTAGCTGTAATCAGAATGTGTACTGTGCATGCCAGGTTCAAAAGATGGGAAATGTTTGTGTGTTATAGCATGGAGCTGTACAGGTGTGTCAGGGCTTAACAGGTCCCTTCAGACCCATCCACAGCCTCGCATTTAAAGCTTGGGCTGCCCTTGATTTTTATTTTTTTTCTGTTATTTTTATGGCATAATATGGAATGACAAGACCCTTCCTTTCTTTTCTCTAATTAGTTTTTGGGCTGATTTGCATATTTATTCAGAAAATATTCATTAGTGAATGAGACTGCATGTTTCCTCTATTTCTGAAATAAACGCAAAGCTTGAAATCAGAATTGCAACATTCCTGCAAGGATAGCTTGTCTCATATTAGACACATGTCAGTTCATTCCATGATTCTGTGCAAAACCTAAATATTTTCAGGTCTTAAGTCTCTTTCTGGTAGAAACAAGTGGGATAAGACTCTGTTCTTTGCATTTACAAAATGATCAGTTATGTGTATGGTAAACATAAGTGGCAGTTGTTTATTACACAGGTGACTTGAAGACCTCTTAGCTTGACTTCACTCTTGTGTGCAAGTATGCAGTTCAGCACAAAAGTCACAGTGCGAGTTACATAAAACTTGCGGTATATATTGCTGTTGTCTCTCATAAATCAAAGCAAAATAAAACCAGGAATGTGGCCTAGAAGCCTTCCCCAGTCTTCCTTTAGAATAGGTTTGGTTTACAGTCCTGGGAGCTCTCTGAAAACATCTTTCCCTGCTTTCCTTTTTATATCTTACAGAACAGCTGTTACAGACTTCATGAGATTCTTTCACCCTCTCCTCCCCAGCTGATACATGTAGCTTTCGTGACTGGGATTTAGATATATGTTAAAACATATATATGTTTAAAACAGATATATGTTAAAACAGGATTTTTATGGAAAATACATTTAATTTATTATAGGATATGGGAATTTGAATCAGTGTTTAAAGCTGTAGTTGAGCAATAGCCAGTATGACAAACACTTAAGTATGTTCTATAGTTTTGTGAGCTGAACGGTTTAGAGGTGTACATACAGTTGAATAATGTTTTATTCAATGTTTTAAGCCTGTTGCTGTAGTTGGTTGTGGCTTCTGTCTTGCTAAGAAGTATTCTGAAAATCCTTGATAGAATTATTACTTAATTGGTTAAGTTCTTGACACATTTTCTGGGCAAATTATTGTTCTTTCTGTGACATTAACTTAAAGCTGAACAAAGCTCATCAAGGAGTGTTTAGGACAGTAAGCAGACTTAACAATTCTGCTTAACAATTTTTTATTCTAAAAAAAAAAAAAAACCTTAAAATTTTTTAAAATTGCATTTCATAGCATTACTTCCTTACTGGAAAATATGTTAATCATATGTGATGTGAGTCACTTTTATAAAGGCAGCTTTTGTGTGCACATACTTGATAATCAAAAGCTGTGGGGTGTTTTTGTTCCTGAATCTGCCCTCATGGTTCTTGGGAAGTAGATAAGAAAAACACACCTCTGAACAGATGCCACTGAAAATTCTATGGTCCTAAAGCTTCAAAAGACCTACATACAATTATTAAATATTTGGCTTTATCTGTGGCTTTACTTGAAGCTGACGTTCAGTAATGTGGTGACAGGACTATGTGTGTCCTTTTTAATCTGTATATTTGCTCAATATCCTTAGTGTCTGTAAAACATTCAACGTTCTCGTTTTGTCCTTCAGTTAAGGTAAAAATAAAAATGCTTTAAATTGAAAGGTAGAATGGTACCATGCTCTTGCTAAGAGCAAACTACTGGAATTATCCCCAAAATTAATGGGGGTTGCTCAAAGACTTCATGATATAGCCTCATATAGAAACAAGTTCCCTTTTTTGTTTAGTAATACCAAAATACGCTTGAGTTGACAGGATGTGCACTTCTGCTGCTATTAGCTCAGAATGATTGCAATGAAAGAGAGTTCAGACAAAGGGTCACGATCCGTAATGAAGTCACGTAGTAGACTTGAAGTTCAGATATGGGGGCAAATACAGAGGGACTTCAGGATTTTGTCTTTGGTTTCTGGTGCTATTGGAAATTTGCCACATAACCTGATGAATGCAATACATGCTTCTTACCAGTCTCTTGCTGCAGTTTGGGTTTGTTCAGGCATAGGAGTAAACAAATTGGGTTTGTTTATGCATAGGAGTAAATTTTCTTTTAGTTATTTACTCCGGCAAGCCTCACAGACTTTCTTGTCAGTCATTCGTGTCTATGCAAGAATGCAAGTAAAAGATCAACAGTAGCAACACAAGTTTTTTTTCTCTGCTTCACCACACTGCTTCAGCCATGACCTTAGAATTACAGCAAGGTTGTGTCTATAGTGTAGTTGTATTGTAACGCAGGCGTAACTGGGCTTTACAGTTTTCTAGGCTGGATACTGTTAGGGAGAGGGCAACGCGTATACAACAGTGACATGCTGTAAAATATGAAAGACAAAGGTCAAAACTATGGCTTGACTATAGAAGCTGGGTAAATCGGACAGCAAAAGTTGTTCTGCTGTAATATGGCTATCAAATCATGATGCTTTAGGCTGTAAACTAGCTGAATCAGCAGTGAGTTTGTAATACTGAACTCCAGGAGGAAAGTAGGTTGTGTCCTCTAGAAGGCAGGAGGAGAGGTAATGCTATCAAGCTTGTCTATCTGGACATAGCCACAGGACTTTCATACATCACAGGATGATAAAAAACACAAGATTGTAATGCGAGCTGTTACTTGTCCTGGTGGTTCTGTTTAATGATGTATGTGTCTTCATTGGCCTATGTGTTGGGTGCTATGGATATAAATCAGTTGGCAACCTATGTTGTACTGTAAGATCTACTCAGATACCAGGCAGATCAAGGTGCCATTCCTTCTTTGCTTGTTACATACTAATAAAAAATACAAATTTATGAAAGCCGCTTTTCAGTTTGTGTGTGTAAACAGGAGAGAAATTGCGAACTAGAGGTAAATGGGTTCTGGAATAGCAGCTGGAATTAAGGCGGTGTGGTTGCTTCAGAGGAGCTTAACCAGCTCGTAAAAATCTAAACTATTTGTCTCAACTAGCCAAGAAGTTCTTGACAGTGTTTTGCTGGAAAAGGTTGAGTCTTCAGAACGGCAACACTTCACAGCAGCATGGCATGGTTGACACAAACAGTTGGTTCTTTAGGTCTGTGCTGGAATCAACTCCAGAAAACAAGTATCTGGTAACTTGACTGGGCAGTCACCTTGGAGAGAGGTGTCAGGCGGAGTGTCTCCCTCTCCATGTGGCACAGCAGGCACTTCAGCTCAAGCCTCGCATGTCCTAATACAAAACAAAGTTGTTTTTTTTTTTTTTAGAACCACATTCTCTTCAGTAAATAGCTTTGTTCTCCATTATTTATACCTTGATGGGTCCAAATCCTGCTTCTGAAGTAGCAACACATTTGTCCTGTTTACAGACTTAAAATGGTAAGAAAATCACAGCACTGTTTGTGTCCTAGAAACCTCTGTCAGTACTGATTCCTTAGGTAGCCATGGCATTCCACAGCTGGAAGGAGCTACAGCACTGTTTGCCTAGGTGATATAACAGAAAAAGTAAATCTGTCCAAGACAGCAAGTAAGACTGACTTTCTAAATTGGATGAAGATGCTGAGTTTGGGGGAGGAAGGGAGAAAACAGGAAGCAGCAGCCAAATGTAAGAATATTACTCATAAGCCATATTCTTACCTGAAATGGTAGGGTCTTCATGATTGACATATTTCCTCTTCAACTCCTTATGTTTTGTCTGTTTCACCTTTTGCAGTACTTACAACATCTGATTTCTACTCTACTGGCTCTAGCTTACTGTGTTAGGTCAGTCCTGTAATATAAATCTTTAAAGTTTGAGATCAGTCTTCTTGATTTATTGTTCAGGTTCAATTTGAACATAATCAATCTAAAATTCAAGGCCTCCTTTAGTGGGAAGATAATCACCAACACAATCTTTTCCCCTGCATTGCTGAATGTTTTAAAGGTGTTGAAATAGATGGTGGTAAATCCTATCAAATGTATTGTGGGACTTTCTCTCCTAATTAAATTAATGATGTGGGGAGATTCCTTAAGGCTGTGGACTGTACCATATTTGAACTTTGGAAGGATGGAAGCAGTGAAGTATGTTGACGGAGCAAGATGCTGTCATGCTCTAAATCTCAGAAGAACCTCGTTATTAGATAGTGCTGGTGACACTGTGACACTTCTGGGAGGTCTGAAGGTTCCTGCAGCCACAAAGGCACGGAACTTTTCTCCTCCCAGTAACTTCGTTGCAAGCTTTTAAAGTCTGTTAGTGAGTGTCCTATAAAAATATCAAGCTCAAGCACTCCTGTGGGCGCACTGTGTGGTATCTTAGTATTAATTGTTGTTGTTATTGTTCTGACCTTACTGAAACCCCTTAGGGACTACCAGTCTGTAAGAGAAGAAAAGTTACTAAGTATCCTTCATTAATACTAAGCGTTTGTTCTAATTCCCTCTGGTCCTGCCCACTTCCATCCAGCATTTT